ACCTTGAAATTGGCCTCTTTCTCTTTAAGAACCTCCTTCCACTTCTGTCCCACCCATTTCAGCGCAGGGGGTTCGCACGGGGTGGCGGGCTACTATGATGCAGTTTACTTGGCTTCTGAAAATACATTTCCTCAAAAGGTATTTTGAATCTGAAAAGAGCTTCACTGAGTGAGAAGTAGTGTTAAGAGCAGCAGTCAGTTTAAATTTCACTTTCACCCGAGTGCCTGCAGCAGTCATGGGCTCTGCCATGAGGAAGCTCGGCTTAAAGACACATCCCAGGGGCGTTTCTGGTACCAAAAGGAGTTTCTGGCAGTGTTGCCAACTTAGCGACTTTGTCACTAGATCTAGTGACTTTTTAGACCCCTCTAGTGATTTTTTTTCCAAAAAGCGACTAGCGACAAATCTAGCGACTTTTCCTGGTGTTTTTAGAGACTTTTAAGAGCTTTGGCGACAGCCTTTTCCTAGCATTTTTTTTCCTTTCCTCCGCAAGCAGCGAGCGCGGAGGTGAGCCCCTCCCCCTTCCTAAAGCTTTCCGACTTACTGAAGCCTTTTGCAGCACCCCCCATCCCTACCCCCACCCCCGGCTGAAGTCAGCTGAGAGGAGACTGCTGCAAATGAACCATGCATGCGCAAAGCTGCCACTGCTTCTGTCAGGTTTACAAAGTGGGATGTAATATTTATTGTAATGTCTTTTCTGTGACACTTTCTCTCTAAACTAAATCTCTAAATCAGCTGTGTTTGACTCACTGATCAGTCTTCACCTCTTCCTCCCTGTGCCTCGTGAAATCAAACCGTCTGCAGATTAAATTTAAGATTCYCACAAATTTAATTTATGTGGATCTAAGCATTGAAGTCATAAAATTATTTTTATTTCATTAAGTTTAATTGCAGTTCTAAACATATTTAGTGTTTTTATTCACTTTTTTCTCTTCATCATCTCTCCTATAGCTCAGATCACAATTACTGGCAAACATCCAACTATGCAAATTAAGCGATTACATCATCTAGCGACTTCTAGCAACTTTTAGGACTGCCAACAGGAACTTTTCTTGCTCAGGAGTTGGCAACACTGGTTTCTGGTTTCCACCTGTCGTTTTGCTCCTCAGCATGGCTTCCTAAAAATGCTGCAGGATTTCTGAAACATGCATGAATGAGTCAAAGCAAGGCTTTGGGCACGTTTTTAAGAGAGGATAACGTTATAACATGATAAAAAACTCAAAAAAGTTGATTTTACATATTACCCCTTTGAAGAGTTGGTGCTACTTTTCTAATTGCAGTACTCCTGCGCTGCACCGTGTGTTTGCAGGATGTCCAGCTGTCAGCTGTGAACTCACCCTGACGTCCAGCCCCAGCCGGTGTCTGCAGTGCTCTCTGAACCTGGGGAACACGTTCTCCCTGAGAGCCTGGCGCTCCGTCACACTGTCTGCGCACAGCATCGACACAGAGACAGAAAAATCATCCAAACACCACGAACACAGAGAACATAAACACTGGTTTGTTAAATCAATCAATCAATCAATAAATAAATTATTTACKTTGCTGTACCTTCTGGGTTGGAGCACATGTAAATTTTCACACAGGATGAGCTGCAGCTGGAAAGTGAGCCATCTTGTCCTTTAGGATGCATGTTGACCATGTTTTTTTTTTTTTGTTAATTTAAAAGAAAAAAATATAAACGGAGGAAAACATTTTGCAGGAACAAGTTTAACGCCTCAAACAGATCGCTGCTGCTTTTCCTCCTTTTCCTCTCCTCCACTCAGGAAACTCTGACCTTGGTGTTTACAGACGGTGTTATCATGATCACGCCCACTTTGAGGGACACACACACACACACACACACACACACAC